TTAATAATATAATATAAAAACAAATAAATTTCAGAAAATTTAAACAGATAAAAGGTGGCAAGACAATTTTTGGTTAATTAAATGCGTCAGATGGTAAAAGATGGAGTGATGTTTATGCCAACTATGGCAATCTGAAAAAATTTTTTTTAACCAGGTTTCTCTGCTATATTATTTTAAGATGCTCGTTCCCCTCTCTCCATCCTTCCATTTCACTCAACTACTTTAACTTTCTACAGTCTCCTGTGAACAGTTTAACTTCATTTATTCCAAAAATAGTTCTTAGTCATAGCAAAAAAGAACACTTTGTTTAAACTGTAACTTACTTAGTGTTTTTTTAACAAAAAAATGAAAGATGAGAAATTTTTTCCTAATACACAGCTGCTGTTTTTGGTCCAAACAGCTAAATATTTACAAATTCGTTGTTTCCAGTAACAGACGCACGCTACTACAGTAGATACCAGACATACCTCTGTTACTTTAATATTTGCATTTAAAACTCTAATTCAGCGGAAAAAAGTAATTGATTGATAAGATCATACCGCTACGACAGCGAAACAATTCCGTAGATAAAATAAACCTCATGCAGTGTGATTTTATCATTAACAAGTTGATAGGTTTAAAGGGAGCATTAGATTGCACCACTAAGCTGTCAGCAGTAACGACTGAACAAAAATAAAATATTTTTAGCTTTTTAAACAGTACCGTAGTGAAAGTCTCCAGTATTCAGGAGGCAAAATCAAACGATAATAACGTGGAATAAACAATCCACAATACTGCACGCTTGCAAGATGACGATACACCATACTAGTAACTCGATGTGATTAATTTTTCATGGTTGAAAATAACTACTGTAACATGTATGATTCTATCTGTTTCCATCTTTCTCAATGCCTTGAACTTTGCTTCTGGTGCTCTATATGTATCTTAAAGAAGGAAAAAATGGTCAAACATACATGACCTGCAGCGTTGCTTTTGTTTCTTAAATTATAATCTTATTTCAAAACACGTAGAATGCGTCACTGAGAATTGCTGCTATTGCAGCGTATATCTAAAAGTAATGCTTTAAATGATCGGATAAGTAAAGCTGTACAAACTTAAATATGCATCAAGAAGAAAGAACTGGAATAAATGTTTCGAAAAAATGTAAAAAAAAAACAATTTTTTACTCAAAATGTTCGTTTTCTTTCTGGTTTAAATTATTAAAATTTTTTGTGATTATAAGTTAACAAATTACGCTATGAATGTTAGAATAGAAGGAAAAATGTTCACAACATTTATAAACGCATTATTAATTGAAATTACAACGGCTTTGCTTTAATACTGTCTGGAAGCTAAATCGAAAGCAGCTAAGAAAACCTTCGTGGATAGAGTAGCCACTGTTGTTGCGCAATATCCGGTTTTATGAAGCAGATTTTTTAATGTTCCCACAAGACTACCTTTGAAGTAGTCAGCTTGACTGTCACAAGTCATTTGTAATTCTGTACGTCTATGATAAGAAAAAAATTGATTTGCCGGTTAAACATATTTCAGTGAAAAACTTCTAACTGAACAAATTACTGCATAGACACCTACGTTTCTATTTACATCAACCCACTATTGATTTAACGATGTAACACCTTAACTTACCGCAAAAATAGAAAACGCTTATACTAGTAAGAATAATATAAAGTAATCTTATAGAACATGTCAAAATACAATGGTGCTGATAATCAAAGAAAGTTCGTTAGCTTTCAACGCAGTGAAGGAGCATAGCTAAAAGAAGAACGTGCTCTGTAAAATGTGTTCAGAACATTAGGTATTTCATCTCATTTATAACTCTATTCACAAGTGCACCATCTAAATAAGTATTTATTAATCGAATTGGGTAGGTCCGCAACTATACTCTTTGAATTTACAACGACGGTTTGACTATATGGCTCAAGTACTGGAAATTGAACCTAAAGATTTTAAACAACACAGAACAGCATCAGTTACAGAATTGCTGATCAGATAACTGATAAGTAGCAAGCATTTTCGACCTCTTCAGTGCATCATTACAATCATTCTGCTTCTCTTTTTTAACCTACGCTTCTTCTTCTAGTGCTGTTTTGTTCCAAAACCAGTTTTCTTAAGTCCAAAGTTTCTTTTCTTGCAGCGTTAAAAAAATTGATTTTTACAGCACTTTTCGAAAAAAGCGTTTGAAGAGACAGAAATTTCTTTGTAGTTATGATTCTTATGTGAGTTTTCTTACAACACCGCAACTTACTAAGGATCTTAATACACGCCTTAGAAAAAACGAGGACTGCCTTGTAATCGTTACAGAATCAACTCGAAAACAGCTTAGGCTTCAGGTCCAACAAAAACTTCACTACTCTTACTTAACAAAATATTGCTTTTTCAGCAACCCCACACATTAAAAGTAGTCAATGTCCTCAAGTCGCTACCACATTCCTCAACATTGAATTATGATATACATAAAAGCAAACCTTACTACTCACTATTATCCACCACTTCCTCATTGTAGTTCCACAAGCCTGCTACAAGACCTAGCTTTTATTCTAAAGGTAGTTCGACTAAAACACATTCTACAAACTCCTGTCCTTGAATAAAAAAAGAACTGGTTTTTATTTCAATAACAGTAAACTTTCTTTAGGCAAAAATCCTCTAAAATTACTGTTATTTCGCAAACATGACCTCGTAAAATCACGTCTCAACCTGTCTCCATGGTATTTTGCTGCTTCGAGGAATCTTCTCGTTGTTAAACGTAGATACGTTACACCGCTAATTCACGGCTGATCGCCAATAAAAAGTCCCTTTAATCAATTCTCTTGAATATCACAAAGCCAAACCTCCACTCTGCTGCACCACGATATGCTTCTGTGAGGCATTAGTGCTCGTACAGTAACTTCTTTTCTAATTTGTCTATTGGAGTCTTCGGTGTGTGTACATAGCATCAAAATCTTGTCTGTTCACAAAAAAGTTAGGTGACTCATGTATTTACTGCACACAAACCGTACGCAGTTCTAATCAGAGGAAGAAAGTAGGCAGACAGAAGTATGCGGTAAAAATGTAACATAACCTAAAAACACAATTTATTTCTGTGAATTCTAAGATCCAAAAAGTCAAATTATTCAGTTTTTACATACAATTCTGAACAACGAGCCTAAACAAGCGAAAGAAGTAGCGCCTGCGGTCTCAAGAGAACCCAGAAAGCTTCAGATCACATCAGTCAAAAGATCAAGCGAGTTTCGGCAGCATACCCTAATTTGTCCAGGTTTGGCATGCATGCAAAGTTGATCATAGGTGGAGGACCGCAGAGTAAAATGACAAGATCATCACTCGGAGGAGGAAAATGGTTTTTAATCATATCTTCATTGATAAAGCCTGCAACTTACTCACTGATTTACTAGACTATGTAACAATTAAAAAGAAAAGAAGTATACACCTGACGAGTAGGACCAGTTTGCAGGAGGGCGATCTACAGTGTACCAAATGTTAAGTTTTGAAGGATTTTCTCTAGCGTATTTGTCTATCTCGTTCCTGAAATAAAATGAAATGAATCCATACCACCAAAAAACTAGTACACTGCACAGCAACATTCATCAAAATTATGTCAACACAGATACAGTCATAAAAACAAATCTCTTACTTTAATAGAATATCTTCTTCTGATTGGTTCGCAAAAAGAAGAAAAACTACAGTATCGTCAGTATCATCCTCAAGAATTGCACGAATAATCTACAAATAGTGGCAAAACATGAGCCATACAAGTTAGAGAGCGAAAAAAAAGCTCCTGGCAAAAAGAAATTTAAATTAGCAAATAAAGAGGCTATTTGACGAAAATAATAAAATTGCGAAAAATGCTTCTACTTGTAACATCGGTGTAATGCCAGACCCACCAGCAATCATACCAATTTTACTGTAAGCCTGCTTTGTCGGTGTGTCAGTTTTCTTCTTTTTCGTCTCGAACACACCATGACCTTTATATTCTATCAATCCTGATGGACCTCTAAAGTCAATTTTGTCACCTGTAAAAACTAATTGTCAAACTTCTAAAATATTTACTCAAAATTAAATGCAAAAAAAGCATAATTATATGATCCGAAATTAAGTTGTTGAACTTGCCTATTGACAGGGTATCAAGATACTGGGTCATTTTGCCACCTTCTGGAAATTTCGGATGCTGGTTTGCCCTGTATATTTTTACCAGAAGTTCTACATAGCCCTTGTCATCGTCAGATGATATTGGAGTATACGGCCGAACAACTAGCTTTCCATGAACCTAAAAATGGAGTAGGAAATTTGACCGAAAACGAAACACAAAAAAGCAAAAACGTGTTTTTATTTCCAAGATATAAGATAATTTATGAAGAGGATGTTAAATCATTTTGCCCCTATTTTTAAGGGAGGCAAAAAACTCCAATTTTGCCACTATTTAAAAAAATAAATAGAAAATTAACGTTTACAACAAAGTTCCTGAAAATAAGCTCATTTTTTTGGCAAATGAAAAGTCAGAGTAAAAAGTACAGAAATTGAGTATCAAGTCTACTATAGTTGGCAACTTACATAAGAAGGTAAAACTAAATTATAAAAGCTGCAAATTTCACCACCTTAGCAGTGAGATGGATATGTTTTCCAACTGGTAAACCAAGAACATGCTCCTCAGATGGTAATCCAAAACGAAATTTTACGGTGTCTCGACTTATTACTTCCTTAGCAATCAATGGTAACGAATATTTCTTCTCAGGATCGACTAAAGTGATCTAAAAAAAGAGTTCAGCAAATAAACATCTAGGCTGATAACAA